CTAGCCTCAATTTCTCAAACTTCAGGGAAAATTTATAAATTACCTTTTTCTCCTCCCCTGAAACCACCTTCTGCTGGTTCTTTTTTTCTTTTCTTTTTTTTTACTTTATCATTCTGAGCAGCATTTTACCAGGCTGTATTGCAGAACAATTCTCTCCTACTGTAAGGCAAAACATACCAGATTTCAGGAAGGCCACTATAACTTAGACAAAGGCAAGTAGAAGGGTATAAATGCAGGCCAGGCTGTCGAGTGCCAGCTTTCACTATGAAGAAACAACTGGCTGTTCAAAACCCCAGCCTGTGGAAATCCTTCAGAGGATTGGGTTACTGATTGTGATAACGTTTTTATTTGCATGTTTGGATTAATATAGCTTATCTCCTTTATGTTTCTGTTAACCAAATCACACACAGCTTGAGATGTGAACAGTATTTCTGAAACAGAAACACCCACCTTTCTAATGTAAGTATTTGGAGCAGTTCACAGACCAGACCCCTTTCTCTCTGAATGCAAAAATGAAAGTGGAGAGTGGCCATGTCCTTCCAGACCCAAGCAGCCTCATCTAGCCTCTACAAAGACATTATCATTTAGTTTTCATGATACATATAGAGCTTGTTCAGACATATTACAGCACAATGGCTTCACATAAAACCAGCTGCTCCTGACACAGAAAATCCAGCACTAACATTAACATGACATCAGTCTGTGGCCTGAGAGCAGGCAGAGCTCTGTCTAAAGGAACTGGCTTCAAGTGCAGAGCAACCTCCAAGGATGTTGAATGAAAACAATTGACCTGTCAGTGGGATTCTGGGCAGATATGAAGACAGGTCGTGCATGTAGAAGAACATTTCTTCTGCCCATGGTTGCATGGCTTCACACAACCTACCATGGGTCCAGGCAGGAAAAGAAGGGGAGCCCTTTGTAGTCCGCAACTGAGAGCCCTCCCCTGGCAAATGTGCTGCAGTGAATTGCAATGATTCCTGTGACACTTCAAGCTGTGCTGAAGTCTTGGAAATGCCTGGCAACTGATCCAAGATGCTACTGCATTGAGTTTTGCTTGGGTTGCTCACAGATCCCTGATCTGCATTGACAAAGAGAGTTCTGCCACTCAAGCAAAGCAAACCAAAGCGAAATTGCATAACAAATAGAAGGGTCTGTACCAGTTTGACTAGGCAGATTACAGAGTTTGCACAGGGCTTGACTTACTCACTACCCACATCATGGGCTGAGCACAAAAACTGCAACACTCAGCCCTCTGAGCAGTGTCCATTACCAATGCAGGCTGTCAGCAAAAAGCCTTTTGGAGCACAAACAGTTTGCACTGGCTTCTCTTGCCTACCAAAAAAGAAAAGACAGCAGTCTGATCACTACAGTAAATGCTACTTTCTGAGAAGCCCTTAACCTGTATCATTTATTCATGTTCTACTTTCTAGAAAGCTCTTTCCTCAGCACATAGCCTCACACACAAGAGGGCATCAGCTCTGCAGTGCCTTTCTTGCTTGCCACAAGCCAAATCCTGGGCCATACCCAGGGACTAACATAATTAGCAGTCTGGACATAGAAAATTGCTAAGAGTAGAAACCAGGTAACAACCTTGATTGCAAACCCTCTGCTGTTAAAAAATCTCTTCCAGTACTAAAAAAAACTATCACTTAATGCAGTATTAAGATGCCAGGCCAGTATTTACTGTCACAGACACAGTACAAATTCATTCCTCAAGGAGCAGCAGCTGTGCTACAGTTGCTGCCTATCTTAGTTCTTAACCCTTCAGGGAAAGGAGCAGACCCTGAAGAAGTCCCAAGTCTGACTACTTTAAGATGTACTACAGTTTACAGAAATAAGTTTGTTTCTGAGAGGATGCATGTGTGGGAGATACACCAGGCCAGGCTCTGTGGACTTTTAATACTACACAAATCAATCCTGTGCTGAAGCATAAACTGCAGGATCTCTTCCAACTGGAACCATAATCAAATGATGTCATATGCTCAAGCAGCTGTGGCAAAGAGCAAGTGAGGGGAGCTCCCTTATTATTCTCTAGCACTGCTCTTTTTTTTTTTTTCTTCTGTAAGAAGGGAACACCAAGGCTAATCAAGCAGCATTTAGGTAACTGTTTAATAAAATAATTTAAGATGTTTAGGAAAGCATCCTAATGCCTCAGGAAGGAAAAAGCAGGCATGCATAATGCATTTAACAAATTCCAAAAGATGGTATGACCTGTTCTCTTTAGAGTGCATCACATTAATATCACTTTCTGTACAGAGATAACAGATCTCATGGTGTATCCATCCCAGTGAGTTTCACAGAGGGTTCATGTGACGTTGACAGTGTACACAGCAAAGGAAAGGATACTTGTACTAAGAAAAGCAATTTGCTTTCCACTATGACTCTGCCCAAAGCTTAGAGGCAGCAGTATCCTCATCTTGCTGGGGAGTTAAAAATGCATTTATTATGACATGCAGGGCCAAGGTGAGTGGCACAGCTGAGGACTCACAGGAAATATGGCCAGGCAACACCTGTGTAAGGATGGAACAAATCCTCATTCCTTCTAGTGCTCATAACCTAAATCCATAACCTGCTTGGGGTAACACTGCCTGCTTTTGCAGTTCACTGTTATCGAGAAACTGTAAGCAGTACTAATTACTGTATTCCTATGCAGCTCCGACTTAAGCACTACTGCTCCTGAACAAGAGTCAGGTCTTTCAGCACCACACTGAAGGAACTGTGATACCAGGCTGCCTCCACCTGTGGAGGCAAGGAAGAGAGAGAGGTGGCAGGAGCACTGAGCAAGCACATCTAGGACACTCCCCCGGGCCTTGTGTCTTCTATTGCCGGAGGGGCTCCCTGGAGGCTGCAGAGGTTGCAGCCCAGAGAGGGGTTGTCTCCTGCTTCCTGGGAGGAAGCAGTTTAAAGGAACAGTACAGCATTGGCAATGACAATGTTAATAATTTAGCACCTGTCAGAAAAGACCCAAGAAATGCTCATGCTCAACTTTAACCCTTACTGTCCCCCAAGGAGAATGGTGCCTCAGCCCTGAGTGAAGTCCTTCAATAAGGGACTTTTCACCCTCCCTTCTACATGTTCTGTATTTATCCATATTCCCCTGTAAGTTAGACAGCAGCTGTTCTGGAATAAAACCCTTTAAGTCTGCAAACAACTAACAAGGAGCAATTTAGTTCCCCACAGCATTGTGTGAGGTATTTGCTTGGGCATAGAACCTGAACTAAGAATTGATTTTAAAAGCTTGTGCCTAGTTCTTTGAAGAACTGAATTAATAACACTGGCAGATAAGCAACAAGCTCAGTCCTGAGTTGTATGTATATTTTCTAAAGCTAAAAAAAAAAATCACCTTGGGTATTCAGCTAAGTCTGATCTCGCTCCTGTTGCCTGCACAACACATTTAGAATAGATTATAGCTTTTGAAAGCTCTACAGAAGAGCTGCAAAGAGAAATGACAGTAGATGGGAAGATAATGCACTTTATCTGGTAAGAGTCTTGTAGATGAAATACTGTCTAAGCTTAACAGCCATCTGTCCACTTAAGGACAGTAGAAAGAAAAAGCCCTCTAATGTGAAAAGAGGAGATGGGCAATGCCAGGGCCTGAGGTAAATGATGACACTGCTTTAACACTTACTTGCTTAGCATTTCCCAGCTTTTGCTGATAAAGAGTAGGAGCTGAATAGCATTCAGGCACAACCCAGCACTCCCAGGAAATTTGATACTGTCCCTTTCACTCATAATCAGCTGGTGAGCTTTGTTCACTATCTTTGGCTAAGCCATTAACTAAGGGAAAGCCTTTCTGCAGTCCCATACACCTCAGCAAGAATAATTTGATAGTTATGCTTTGCTGTGTGGGTTGTTAACAGTGGGGGACAGTCCCCTATTAAGGCAGAAGGGAAGGACACCCCTTCAACAGGGATGCCAAGTGCAGTAGGAAGGTGTAAGGACTACGTACCCCCTTGCAGTCCCTTTTGGGTCCTCAGACTCTACCTGAACAGCCACCTCCTGGACATGGATTTATCCTTGCTACGTAGAAGAATGCATGTCCCCAGAAGAAAAAAAAAAGATTGGGTAGTGGTTTTTGATTTGCACACTCTCGAAAATCTAAAAACTAATGCAACAAGCAATTACTGAAGGAAGACTGGTCACATTTTGCAAGACAAAACAGTGCTGCTAGGAGAACTACCTATAAAACGAAATGTGAATCAAAACTGCCTCAGGGACACTCAAGTTGCACACACCGCAGCATCACAGCTCTGAGGCAGACAGTGCTTCTAGAGTGCATAAGTCTGCAACCTCAACATGGCCCATAAATTTATGGACACATCTAAACTGGGCCATTCAAGATAAAAAGCCACTTTTAAATGCATATACTCTCAAGGGGAGCACAGGGAGGATGTGATTATTCTTTGCACCTGCAGTACCTGCTAGAGGAATAAAGGTCATTAGAAGGTTTCAGTCTGCTTGCCCAAAGAAGAATGACTATCAAACTTTCCTCTCTGCAAAAGGAAAGGAGACAGTAACACACAGATCTGACACCAGAATCCTAGCATTGCCACCCACTAGATGGTCTTTTTGTGCCACACTCCAATTACTCCAAAATATATTCAGGAAGACTAAGATGCAAATGAATCAATAAGGACTAGTAAAGAGAGGTACATTAGAAAAGCTTGGTATTTTACCATCACTCTCACTACAGAGAGGCTAAAACAGGTCTAGAGCACACTTAGTTAGCAAGTCCCTGTGTCTTATCTCAGTAGGACCAAATAATTCATCCACACTTTAGAAAACCTCCATTCTTATCCTCAGCTATGAACACAATGATAGAGTCACATGAATAGGTACAAAGAAACAACAGAAAAGACTAGCTGAAAAGACTGCTCCCCCCAGTAACCATAACAACAAATAAGAGAAAACTGTTTGTCTGAGGGATCTGCTTCTCTCTTTTTGGTAGTATCTTTTAACTTAAAAGCAGCTGCATTGGAGTCAAAGAACAAAGCTCAAGATAGTCACAAAAAATAAAGGATGTATTTTTCTCCAAAGATCAAAACTGTAACTAACATAAGACATTCATATTAGAGTATTAAGTTCAGTGTCCAGAAAAAAACTCATCTGCCATATAAAAAAAAAAGATACTGAAATTGCTTTACTGCTCAAGAATCTCTTTGCTCAAAACTGCTTAATTCTTCTGTCACCAAGTTTTGTCAGTAACTTGATTTTAACTACATTGTACAAACAACTTTTCTTCTCCACCCTCAGCTTATCTAAAGCTCTTCTTTTGTTCTGGAGAGTTTTGTTGCATGCTCCTCTATAAATTTGCTCAAATGCTCTAAATCTCTGTCCCCGCCTTCAAATTTAATTGGGTTGTTCTTCTTGTCCTTTGGAGCAAAGTAGATGGTGGGGAATCCCTCCACTTTGTAGCGGTCATTCGTCACATCGTTGGCAGTAGCATCCATCTTGGCTATAATCAGATTTTTCTCATTCTTGTATTTTTTGCCTAGCTCATTATACACTGGTTCTAGTTTCTTGCAGTGTCCACACCATGGGGCATAGAACTCTATGAGAACATCATTCTTTGGATCCATCACTATGGTATCAAAAGTTTTACCCACTACCACTTTCACAGGCCCTTTGTTATTTTTTGGCACTGGCTGAGACTTCACAATTGGCTTCAGTTTTCCTAGAAGGAAGCAAAACACACACAACACTGTTAGAATATGGTAAGAGCAGCCCTTACAATCTCCTCTAAGAAAGGGCAGAAGTACATCCTCCTGCCAGGGAAAAATCACTGCACCAGCAAATGAACTTACCTCAGCATGAAATACAGGCTAGTTAACTGGTGACCTTGTGGCCCAATAACCTCATGAAATATGGGCAACAGATTTTTTTTTGCAATTCCCTAGAACCCTTCTCCTCTTTTTATGGCTGTCCATCCACAAAGTAAATCATCCACCCATGATTTAATAGAGTAGTCCCAAATATGAATGACCAGCTCACGCTTTAAAGCCACAGACTCTGTTTACTGGAGCAATTACTTCAGGAAACAACTCTTGGAAGAGTAAACAAAATAGCTTAGAGAATCCTATTTTAGAAACTTTTTAGTACCTTTTTTGAATGCCACCACAAACTGCCTGAGTACATCAGAGTCAAACTCTTCTGGCTCCATGGCATACTTCTTGCCACCTTCATCCAGAATGGCAGCGTTGACATCCTCTCCACTCTCAAGCAGGCCCAAATCTTTTATTTCAGAAGAATAATCTTCCTCATCAGAAACAGCAAACACGTATTCAGGGAAGTCTTTAGCCACTTCCAGGACTTTGCTTCTCCAATACTGAGTAGCTGAAAAACCAGAACAGGACAGAATTAGTAATTTCTAGTTATTCTGCCTCCTCTCAAAGTGAAGGAAGGGTAATTGTAGCAAACCTACCAACGCGGTAGTCGAAACTGAAGTCCACAGAGTAGTAGACAACCACCAGAGGACGCTTGGAGTATCTCTTGGCATCGTTGGAAGGCTTGCGATGACCAACTAGAGGCAAAGCATGTTTTAGCACGTGCTCTTTAATCTCTGATCCATCCGTAGAGTCCTGTAAAGAAATAGTGAAAAAAGTTCAAGCAAACAGATTTAAGCAGCATTTCTGCTGCACACTACTAAAAAACCAATATTGGGACACACATGAATGCGAAAGAGTGAAGGATGTGTTATAAAAACAAGGCTGCCACCACATTTTCTTCAAACCTTTGAGCATCAAATATTGTATGGACAAATTATTATTTGAAAACATAACATCTAGACTAATTTCATAAAGTTCTCTTGAAAAAGAAATACAGTTTCAGTGGACAAACAGGTTGACTCAACTATCTAGTGGGAGTACTTCCAACAGGAAGATGCCAACTGATCACAATTACAGAGAAAGAGAACCTTCAATCCCACACACAAACACTTTAGCTCTGGACCATCTACTCACTTTAAGATTCAGAACGTGCATCTTGGGCTCATGCTTCGACTGAAATTTTTCGGGCTGCATGACAACCAGTTTCCCTGGAGAAACTTTCAATAGTTTTGCAATCTCATTGCTGAAGGTGTGATGGAACTTATAATCTTCTCTCAAACCATTAGCTGAAAAATTAAGGTGACGGTGAAGGAAAAGCTATTAGAAAGTGAACTGGCAGTCTGTAACTGAGATCTTGAGACTGTAACTGCAAGGAAACGCTCTTCCTGTTCTCCAAGTGACACAGAACAACCCAGTCTTAGACAACAGCTCTCACCCATGGGTGAGAAGCATGTGAATATACATCCAATTCCAGCAGCGCTATTTGAATGCTGTTCAACAACCCATCCACTTGGTGAGTTATTCTACACACTCAAACACCTTGAATAGCTTCCAAAACATATACAGCAAAACAGTTATTCTTTTGTCAATCTCTTACCTCTTGGCTTCCCCCCAAACTGGTCAGCTAGTCAAACTATTTGCTTTGGGGCAGCCTGGGAAACAGTTCTGTATCTTGCCATGCTGAAGCAAACAAATGAGCTCCTAATCCAACTATGACAGCAGCCCCAGAATCAGACATAGACAGGTTGCCAGGAATGGTCTAACTAAACTGACCCAGAAGTGGATGATGATCCTTTCTGCAGGCCTCTCATCCCAAATGAGTTTGGTGACTCTGGGCTGCCAGATATGAAACTAGTGTAATAGACAGCAAACACATCTAGGTTTTAAGCCAAGAAATTGTGGTTTGCTCCTCAGGAAACAATTTTTCCCTCCTCTCTAGTCCACATGTTTTTAGGGACACAATTACCAAGCAGAGGTGTATTCTGTGACTGGCTGACACTTCAGTTACAGCCTCAAAATCTGGTGAGAGCTTATTTTTTGAGTACAAGTAGATCACCCTTCCTCCTACTACTTCTCCTTTCCAACCCTCCCTACTATACTAGGAGCAGAAATAAATGATCTTTCCATGCCCAAAGTGCTAGGCAAAATCCCAACAAAACATATATTCCATTAATATTTTAAAACATTCTTTACCTGCTTCCTGATACAGCTGATAGGTTTTGTCATTCTCTCCACTAAAGACACCAATGATGATGACATCATCCCCATCCCTCAGAAATTCTTGTACCTGTTTGGTAGCCTGAATCTGTTTGGATGGAGGACCAGCCTGCTCAATCATGTAGTCGACAATACCTGTGAGAGAAACCCGCCCCCAAAAAGTTGCTTAGAACATTTACTGAACTGAAAGATTTGGGCATTCCATCTAAAACATTTACTGTCACATTTCCTACGAACACCTTTCCTCCAGTGCAGCCTCCCACAATAACCTAAAGACCAAATCAGCAAGGTTTCAGTCCAAGTTTTTAAAGCTGCAGTTCTGAATATTCCCTTTCAGGTTGGTTTCAGAAGAGGTGACCAAGCACACAATCCATGAATATCAGTTGATCTTGCAAGCAATGCTTCTTTCTGAAATTCCAGACCCTTCACTGTCTCCTGAACCTGTTATGAGCCAAAGCTACTTGAGTAGTCTTAAGTCTAATTAAAACTTAATATGGGGTATTTTTGCCAGCCCCCAAGGTGCATTCCAGTAAAATTAAAATCTGCCCATTTACCCATACTGCCACTGTTCACCATGTGTATTTAACTTACTTGATATTGAAAGGAGCTGATACTACCATCAAAAGATGTTATGAAGACTAGAGACAAATTTAAATATCCTGCGTATGTATGAGAGCAGAATTTTTTAGTTTTCCCCAGCTACTGCTGCTATGACATTAACAAGTCTGCAAGTCCTACAGATATGTCAAAATATTTGAGGCCAAGCCTGTGGCCTTCACATCGTCTGAAAAAAACCCTTCGCCGAGGATCTTTCTCCTGGGAAGCTGAGAGGCCTGAGAGGAAAGGAAAACAATTCTTATCTCATTTGCTTCTCCTGTGTTTGCTCACACGTGGAATGTGTTTGGAGATTGTTTACCCACAGGTGATTGTGTCATTGGATTCTGGTGTGAGTTGTTTTGACTCATTGGCCAATCAGGGCCAAGCTGTGTCGGGAAAGACTCTGGAAAGAGTCAAGAGTTTTCATTATTATCTTTTTAGCATTAAGTATCCTTTCTGTATTTTTTACTATAGTATAGTATTCTTTAATATAATAAAGTATCATAAAATAATAAATTAGCCTGCTGAGAACATGGAGTCAAATTCATCATTCCTCCCTGCCACGAAGATCCCTGCAAATACAATACAAGCCCTCAGAACACGAGAAAAAGCCTAAGTTGCAGTACCATATTTTTCCCGTGGACCGCTGTAGTCATAAGGTTTGCCCTTGCGGAAGATTTTGAGAGTTGGGTAGCCAGTAACATCAAACTTCTTTGCAAGCTCCGTTTCAGCTGTGGCGTCAACTTTAGCCAGGGGGATGGGAGGCGTGCGCTTGCTGAGCTCCTGGGCTGCCTTCTCGTATTCTGGAGCAAGCCTCTTGCAGTGTCCACACCTAGGGAGGGAGAGCAGAGGGCGCTGCTTACGAGCCATTAAGCCTGCCAGGTACCTTCTACCCCTGGAGTGGAAGAGTTAAGTCTTCCAGCATGCAGAAATGTGATCATTGAATCCACAGAGGGCACTTCAGCCTTGGAAAATGTGTCTCTGCAACCTGAAGCTGGCCTCTGTGCCTAGCCTCACATTACTACAGCTTCATTTTTAGAAGCCATTTTTAAGCTAAGGACCAATTCTCTTTGGTTTTCAGTATCTCAGTGTGTTCCCAAATCAGTAAATATTGTGAACCTCCAATGAAGATCCGGACACCACCCCTTGCTGAGACATAGATCCAGTCTAGTCTGCTAGTGATTTGCAACATGATCCCAGGTGCAGATTAGAAATCAGGTATACCAGAGCTTTGCACAAGACAAAGATGTGTAATGAGGCATAACAACGGTAGACAGGTTCACCAAGTGTGTTCAGGCCATCTGTGCTAGACAAATAGAGACCAATACATGGTCTTGCTTACCATGGAGCATAGAACTCTACCAGGATTATATCAGCATCATTCACAACTTCGTCAAAATTATCGTGGGTCAATACCAGAGTAGCTTCAGGTGGAGGGGTCCAGTTGGGGTCAGAAACCTCCTTGACTTTGGCCACAATAGCTGAAACACAGTTCAACAACCCAATTAGCAAGCATGCATTTTATCATACCAGTAGCATGCCACATGCATGAATTTGAAATCGGAAGGCAAGCACAGTACTGGACCAATGACTACACATCAGGTTTCCATGAGAACACTTTCTTAATCAAGCTCCTTTATGCCTTATTTCCTTGTTGGCATTACCAAGAAGGTCTTCTCTTCACCCCATAGAGTGTCTTATGCAGAGCACAGATCTGTACTTTGAAGCACTGAATTCCGTGTCAGATAAAAAAGTAAGTTTTCCCCTTCTGACTCGAGCTGGGCATATTAATTAAGCAAAATATAAGTGGGTTTCTGTACACTCAATACAGAGATCAAATGTTTATTGGCTGATCCTTCAGCAAACATGAGACTGTCTTCTCTTCTAGTCAAGTCATATTTCTAGAAACCTTCTGTCAATAACAGCACTACCCACTACCTGCAAAATTGTCCTCTAGCATGCAGCCTGTTGAAAAAACAGGGAAAATTTCAGCATTCGTAATATTACTTGCTTTAAGAGAAGTCAACTGATATCAGAGTCCTTCAAAACAGCCACATATTAAGAAACAAGATTATAGGCTATTTTCTTTTCTTACAGGGAGCTGCAAAGGACTGGTGCTTACCATCTTCTGTCCGAGACCCATCATAGTCAACAGCTTGGCCTTTTTTCAGGATTTTGATGGTTGGATAGCCACTGACATCAAAACGACTTGACAGTGAAGTGGCTGCAGTAGCATCTATTTTGGCTACTGGAATAGGAGGGTCATTTTCCTTCAGAGTTTTGGCTATCTTCTCATACTCAGGAGCAAACTGCTTGCAGTGCCCACACCTGTCAGAGGAAGACACAAGTAGGTAGGTAAATGCACAGCAGACATGCAGAGGTGCTCTGCTGCTCTGCAATTCCAGGATGCCTTCTAACAGACATCCACATTATAAGCACAGAAATGTTTGTCTTGCTATCTGTTTGGATCATGAAGAAATAGAGAGCAACTGTAGCTAATGTACTGTATGTTCACATCAAAACCTTTCCTTTTCTTAATTTTCATTCAATGTGGAATGTATTGCCATATGCTTTATAAAACCACTGTAAAAAAATTCAACAACTGCTAAAAGTTGTAAACATTATGCTTCTTCCTTTCTTCCTAACTTCAGCTTCTCCTTAACCAAGGTTTATCTTCTCTCCCTAGCACCCTAAATTGAAGGAAAGAGGAAATCAACCAGCAGTTAACTTGGCCTAATGAAATGTCCCACCCACCATGGTAACACAGCATCTGCCCCCTCTTTGGCCACACCAGAACTCTCTGGGAAGAACAGAGGCTCCTGCTGCAAAAGCAGGCATGACAGAGGATACCAGCATAATAAATGCTAAACAAGCATTTAGCATAATAAATGCTAAATGCTTCAGCCTGACAAGGTAAAGATGAAACCAGAAAAATGTAGGAAAACAGAAGGAAGTGTGTGGCAGATAGCCTGTGCTCCTTAGCATCTCAGCTGGCAGGAAGGGGAGTAGAAAAATAGGAGAGGTGTTTAGTCTATGATGATACACATCATTCTGCTCAGATAAATTGAACTTCACATTTAGTGTTCATGTAGGCAAACTACAGCTGCAGAATTAGTGCCTACAGCCAAGAAGGAATGGGATTCTCTGTGACAAGAATGGCGCAAGTTAAAATGCAGCTCCACCTCAAGCAAGATCATATTCCCCCTCTATTCAAAGGCTGGAGAAGGGCCAATGAGTAAGTCATTTTTGTTTCACCGAGCCACAAAGGAAAAGAGGTTCTGGCTGCATCACTAACTGAGCAACTCTAGCGACAGTATCTCCTACTCTTGTTTTCTCCCAGTTACCATCCCTAATGTTTCTGAACATAAGAATGCAAGAGAAGATATATCCTGGCCTAAATCCTTTGTCTTGGTTATATGCAGGTAAATCCACTGTAGCTCCCTGGAGCAGACCAGTGGTGCTGTATACCCCGGGATGCCAGCAGAACTGCCATCTTAGGTAGATGTATGAGGCACTGCTTAAATTGATAATACAAACAAGCTGTGTCCCCAACCACACCACACCCTTCTGTCAAGGGCAGAAACGTGAATTTGGAAAGGAAAACCTGGCAATTCCCCTGCTAGGGAAGTCTTCATTACTCCATCTACTCCATCACTCTCATGTGCAGATGAGCATTCTCAGTGGTCCAGCACTGGCAGGATGACAGCAGGCTGCAAGACCACACTGCATGACTTTTCTGGGCCTCACTGGGACCATTTCTTTTCCCTGACAGGCACAAAACAGGGATAGAATCAGGCTTGTGCTCCCCTTGGCATGAGATCCCTCAGTATGACCCACAGCTGTGGAACGGGAGCAGGCTGCTAGTTATTGCATGGTACAGGGGTGGGAAAAAAGTTTCTTCACCACCACCAGAACCATCTCTTTTTCTGGACTATAGCAGAGTCCTGAGCATCTCCTGCAGACAAGTTACTCCTTTCTCATCTTTAAAACGGCAACACAAGCTCACTTTTTAGGAGCTTGCCCTGGCAGAGAAGTGCTCTGATGCTACACCCATGGAGGTGCTGCTGTGAACCCACCATGGTGCGTAGAACTCCAGCAGCACGGTGTCCTTGTCCGCAGTGAAGGTGTCAAAGTTTGCATCATTCAAGACTAATACACCATTTTCTTCTTTAACTACAGAATCATCGTCATCTTCATCATCTTCTTCTTCATCATCATCATCACCTTCATCGTCAGCTTCTTTTGTAACAGATTCTGGAAAGGTAAGAATATGACACAGATTAGATTGTGTCAAGTTTAACGTTAAAGTGACAGTACCAGAATGAAGACGGATTAGATAACTCCTGTGGTTAAGAAAAGTACCCACATGAATTAGTTTGTGCTCCACATATGGTGACAGCTATCTCAGTTTGCAAAGAGCCTGAACTCAGATGTTTGACCATTTCAATTTTGTCCCCATTACACCAGCTAACACTATTAATATTTCAGTAAAGTATCAACACGTATTGCACATTTCAGAGAGAACTAACAAAATGGACACAAGAAGTATTAAAGAACGCAAATCTATGCAACAGTTGCCACAAAGGTTTGATGGACATCTTGTTGAAATGTGGGCAGTGAGATATGTTTTGCTGGGCAAGAAGGGCACACAGATGATACCTGAACTTCAAACAGAACCCCTTCATCATGCAACAGAGTAGCTGTCCTTTAAGTGTAGCCAACTTGAAGTTGGAAAAATTAGTGTCTTAAACCAAAAAAGCATGTGTTATCTGTTCCCATGGCTCCCCTCGTACCCCCTACTCAGGAGAGACCTGTAACACCACAATAGCCATGTGCTGCCTGCCTGCAAGGCACACTTGCTATAGACCCAAGTGTTACAATTTCATTTCTATCAAGGTGGTTTGGAGGCAGCACTTGAAAACTGTGCTTCTTTCCTGACTGCTCCATCCACCTCTGCCACTCTTGCTTTCAGTTACAGCGATGTTTCAGGTCTGCTATTCATTGAGGAGTCTTTCAACTCACAGGAGCATCAACCACTCTGCTCTGGATCAGCACCAGGCTGCAGTGAGTGTAAAATCAAGTAAATGACTGCAGGAGTCCCACAAAAACCCACTCCTATGCACCTGCCAAATGTACTCTTCTAAAAAAAAACAAACAACGAAAACTGAGGGCAAGCTTCTTCTTTCAAAGAACTTTTGGAGAGGCCTTTGAATTAAGACCAAAACCACTGGTCCAGAACAGTCCTTTAAAGGAGAAAGCAGATTTGTTAAATTACCAAAGCAAAATTAGCATGTGAAAGCTGAAACCAGCACATTTCTACTCATTCATTCTTTGTTGGCTTGGAATTTGAGATGGTTTTTTCATATCTGACCTTTCACATGTTCCTTTAAAGTTTTTTTTTTAAAAACAAAACAACTATCTTTCAAGGAAACCAGACCTTCCTGAAGGACTTTAAAAGAATTTCAGTTACAGAACAAGTAATGAAAATATCTCATCTCAAATGAAAACTGTAAAACAATGAAGTTAAGTGCCTTTTAATCAGTGGGACTCCGAGAAATTGGAGGAAAAAAAAAAAAAGAAAAAAGAAAAAAGTGATTAGGGCTTCTTGTTTAAAATTATTTTCTATTTAACTGCCTTTTGACTAAGCTGAGAGGAGTTACTGCAGCAGTATTCTGAAAATATTCTGATTTCATCAGGAAGTTGAAAGTTAAGAATGATAAATATGTACTATCCAGATATGAAAAAGCTAGCAAAACAAAACCCACATTTGTCAGACTAACAGCAGACATTAGGAACAACCTTACCATGGATAAAATTATGCCATTAAATTGCAATAGCTACTTTTATTTTAGAAGAAAGTACACAAAAATGAGCCTATATGCTCTCAGGAAACAGTACAGGCTCTTGGAGAAAATACGTTTATTTTAATTAGAGGCCAAATTTATGTAGCACGAAATACTAAAGCTAAAGATGGAGAGATCACAGGAGATCGTTTATCACACAACCACAGTCAGCTGGATTAGGTTTCTTTAACAAGTACTAGTGTTTCACCTGATCTTTGAGGCAGCTAAAAGCACTGTCTGCAAGCAGACAATGCCTCCTGTGTTGCAGCACTTGCTCACTCTTGAGAGAATCCATGCCTCACATACCTGCAGGACTGCCCCGGTGAAACAGCTGGATTTCAGGGGGCTCCAGCAGGCAAAACTTGTGCCTTACAGGGGTGCCCAGCAGTTCTGAGGGCTATGTTTCACCACAGGCTGTTCCTGGCTGGCCTGTGCCTGAATTCCCGACCATTGCATTCCTGGCAAATTGCTTCAGATATGATTTTTCCTGACACAAAGGAATGCGAGCAAAACCAGCCCGCCAGTTCTGCTCCTGCGCCTCAAACTATCCACCGGGTTGTGACCCTTGCTCCTGCTCTCTCTGCTCACCACCCACCCCCAAGAGAGACGAAGAACACAGCAGCTACAGTGGCACCTGTTTTTCAGAAAGAACAAGGTATCACCTGCAAAAACATCCATGGTGGAAAATGTAACCATCAAATCCACCACCCCTCAGTGAAATAATTTTGTATCTTTCCCTACAAGTGGCCGTACAGCCTGCGAAGGTAAAACTTCCCTGACAGTGACACATTGTCATGGGCATTGCACACACCCACTTCCTCCTCCCTGGAGATGGAGGCAGGACAATAGCACTGGAACAGCAGGGCTCCACCTTTTCCCAAGCAGCTTAAGGAGGGCGTGCACTAAAAAGAAAGCTAAGCACACTTAGATATCGGTCCTTAAGAGTGCAGACTTACTTTCTGTAGCTTCCAGCTTCACCAGCACCCAGGGCTATCATAGCTACCTCTGCCATCCCTTTCTTGTTGGGACTGAAAGACCTGTTTCAGGGACCTAACCATGGGAGAAACAAACATACCGCCCGTCACCCTCCTCACAGGCGCCCCCCCCCCCCCCCCCCCAATAAAAACCAAGAAACTTTCCTCTGCATTAAAAATTTACAATTTAAAGAGAACAGAATGAGTCTGTGGCACCTGAAGTGGCAGAAGTAGCTAATAAATACTTACATAAATCAGCCCATGAAAATAAAACAGCTGCCCCCAAACTGAAATATCTTTGTTTCTTAAAGTGACTTGTAAAGCCAGCGGACAGACCAACAGCTGTGACAACTGTGGCTAAAACCTGTCCTCTGGTAAAATATGGATAATCCTCTTATACTAAAAAAAAAAACCAAAACACACGCAAAAAATTTAAAAAAAAAAATTAAAAAAAAAAAAACAAAACAAAAAAAACTCCCAAAACCCCCACCAAAGGAATCCACAAATTTCAACACATTACTACACAAGTCCAAAAACATGATCAAGAAGGTACTTTTTTTGAGACTTGAAGTACACAATGCTGGCTGGCAGGCCTTCTTTAGGATGACAGCTACTCTGAAATTAATTCTTACAGTAACTTCACTGAACACTCAGCATTTATCAGAAATGTAGCCTAGTAACATTTTCTTAAACAAAGCAGATCCTGTACAAAAAAGTCTGCATCCAGACACCAATGACTTTGGGATGCTGCCTGGAAGTTTCCTTTTGAGGAGCACACTGTTCCCTAACTGGATGAGCTCCATTTTCAGAAACCCAGAACTCAGGACTCATCATGTGTTGCTAGGGTATTTGCAAGATTTTCAATATCATCAGCCCCCTTCAATCTTTTCTGTGGTGGATCCTCTACATGATCCTTCCTTTCCCATCATCAGGATGCTAAGGGTGTAGTGGTCAGGATCCAGACTAACCTCACTTCCAGCATATTCACCCCCCTGCCCTGCTCAAGCTTCCCAAATCCTGCAGCGCAACAAGCTGGGTTAATTCGGAACTTTTCATCTCCCCAACAATCGATGTGCATAAGATTACTTCCTTGTTGCAAAGTAAATTTATTCCACTTCACCCAAGTCTGCATTCCAAGGGCAAAAATTGAAATCCCCAACTATGTGCATTTTTAAGGCAAAGGCTTTGTAAAGGCTAGTTCATGATCTATATACAAATTCAAGATACACAATAGAACCTGGAAAACTATTCAAAGCTGGGCAGTGGATTAGTGTTCAGCTCCACACAGCAGGAGATACTTCCATCACTGTGTACCTTTGATCCTGAGAACTCCTAAGATGAGAAGAGCAGCAAGCACAGGAAATACTGATGAGAGCCAGGTCCACAAGAAGCTGGAGCCACTGCTGCCAGCCACAGGTAACACTGTAACATCACAGGTGTTACTTCACCCTTTGAAGGTGGCAGGGGAAATCAGTACTAGGCTTTGTCACATGTTACAAAGAAACCATAACCATGTTCTAGCTAAAAGCAGAGAAAGAGGCATAAAAATTGTATTCCAGTTTGCAACAGAAAAAAAGAAAAGAGCTCCACAGGAAGGTTCTGTATCTCCATCTCCTCACTGCAGATGCCATGTCATTTAAAACAAATCTCTTTACCCTTATTCTACAAACCATACACAAATAGGGTAACTGATCTAAATGCACTTCTGCAAGTTTTAGTGCCTGTTAGGCCAGCAAGAAGCTGCAAGACATGAGTTCAGAATCCATAATCCAGTCTCTTCAAAAGCCCTCTAATATTTAAAATACAGCAGTGTTCATGCAGGAAATATGAACGATGCATAATTTACCAAATTCCACATGAAAGAAACTTAAAACTGAAAAAAGAAACACCTTCAAATGCCTGCCTCCTACATACAGGCACAATACTCATTAAGCCTCAGCAGCTTTATTTCAGCTAATTTTGGAAAGGAGAAGACACACATCAGTGAGATCCAAAGACGGTAGGAAGAAACACCAAGAAGATGGTAACAATGGACCTTCCTTCTGTGAGGGGGAAAAAAAAATCAGTTTGAAACACGAAGAATGCACAGAGTTCCTGAACAAAGGAGTAAGGAAACGAGTGCTCAGTCACAGAACCATAGAATAAGAAGGGTTGGACGGGACCTTAAAGATCTCACAGTCCCAGCTCCCCGGCCATGGGAAGGGACCCCTCCCACTAGACCACTGCTTGGTGGTCTTGAACACTGCCGGCACTGGGGTACTCTGGGCAGCCTCACCACACCCAGAGAGTAAAGCATTTCTTCCTCATATCGAACCTAAATTTCTCCTTTTTCAATCTGCACCCATTACTCCTCGTCTTATCACCACAGTTCCTGATCAAGAGTCCCACTCCGCAAAACGAAATCGCAATCTGTCCGATAGGAGTCTGAATAAAGAAATCGCAAATTCCCCGGAGATTTAGAAGCCGGTGATTGCCAACATGGCTAATTGTGAGCTAGCTGTTAACTCCGTGCTTGGCAGAGGCGAGGCAGAGCCGCCCCACGGCGCAGGACAGCCGAGCAGCGCCGGGACAAGCGGCTCGCACCGACCTCAGCGCCTTCGCGGGGCGGGCTCAGCGTCCTGCACAGAGGCCTGCGAGGAGCACCCCGGCCCCAGCGACGCCCGCCGACCCGGGCTCTCCGCAGCGCCCAGCGCCGGGACCGCGCCGCCGCCTCCCGCGGGGGGACCCGGCGTGCGCTGCCGGCCCGGCCCCTGCCCGCGCTCACCTCCGTCGCCATCCTCCTCCTGCGCCGCCGCGCCCCGCGCCAGGAGGGCGATCTGAGCCAGCCCCAGCAGCAGCACCAGCACCCACATTAAGCGCATCCTCATCCTGCCGCCGCTCCCGGCCCGGCCCGGCCCGTCCGCTCCCTACGCTGCGCTCCCGCCGCTCGCCCCGCCCCCCGCGGCACGCCGCGCCCGCTGATTGGCTGCCAACTCAACACGTGCTTGGCGGGGTCGCCAATCAACAATCATCACGAGGGCCGGCGGTGCGGGGTGCGCGGGTTTCGCGGGCTCCGCGGCGCCCCCGGGGACCCCCGGCGACGGCGGGCGCGGCGCCGCGGCGGGACACGGGCGCCATTGATCGGAGCTGCGGCAGGAGAGCGGCGGCGCCACCGCGCGCAGAAGCGCCCGGCCGCTCTGAGGTGCTGCCCCGCCATTGGCCGCCGCGGAGCCGCCAACCGCAGGCCGCCACGCGTGGAGCGCGCGCTCCCGCCGGGGGCGGGAGGCGGGAGGCGGGAGGGACGGGGCGGGAGCGCTCCGAGCGCGTGCAGCCACATCGCCCTTCGGGATTGGCGGGCCGGCGGCGGGGGGCGGGGCCAGCGAGCCGCGGCAGCCTGTGAGGGCGCGCCGCGTGCAGCGGGGCGGGGGCAGGTGAGGGCGGGCTGAGGGCAGCCTCAGGGCAGCGCTGGCGATTCTCGAATTCCCGCAGCTGGAGAGGGACATTCGGTAATTTTGGGAAAGGTGGGATGTAGGCGCCGCCCTTGAGGTCCGCAGGGACCAGGGAGGGTGCGGAGCCGCGAGCCCACCGGTAGCGCCGTGATTGCACGGGAAGGTGTCGCGGCACAATTTCTGTCCGTGTTTGTCCAGATGGTTTGTCTGGTGGACGTCTAAGATGCAACAAGACGGTGCTAAAACCTTTTGGTGCTAGAATTGCCAATCTGTCCCCATGCTTCGGCTAATTACATAGGCTCATGGGACAATTATTTTCATTTTTATGAAACTTTTGACTCTTTGAGTTGGTAGGTTGTAAGCATAAAGAGCTGCTAAGTTCAGTGTGCAGCAGATACACTGTAAAAGAGTAGCAGTAGCTTATGATAAATTAATATCGTCAAGGTTTTGAAGTGCAAGCTTTAAAATGTAAACTCCACAATTTTAGACGATTAAGACACTGCATTGCTCTGAAAGGTTGCTGTTGCATCAGTTGCCATTTGGCATTTGTAAGTGGTCTGTAGGTTGGAAAAAAAAAAAAAACACATTAAAAGGCCTTCTATGTTCAACATTCATAAGTTATGGCCTAGAAGTCAGTGCCTTTCCTCAACTCAGCTGCCACACAAGTTATCTTGAAAATACAGCAGCTGATACAGGAGAAAATTTTTAACTTACTTGGCATATCACTAGAATGGAGTGGGACCTGATCTGAACCAAGTTAAAGCTGTCTGGATCCTGCCAAAATTGTGAGCCTGATCCTGCCTGGTTTTGGTGTTGATACAAATATTAGTTTGATTAACGTTGATATTCAGTAGTTTGATGATAGCACGTCATGAGATTGTACACTCCATATTCTCAGTGGGAAGAACTAAGAGTATGGAAGGTTCTTATTTATTTTTTATTTATTTAAATAAAACCTCGATTTAAATATCGTCTTGGGGTGTGACATATTTACTGTCTTTATCCTCTGAGTTTGTAAGAGATATATTGGCTGTTGTAATCAATTTTTTTCTGATTTTTGTTGAAGGTTTTCCAACTGACAGTGACCTGTCAAGGTAGAGAAGTACTAATACTTCATGACAGACATTGTCTAGGCCATTACAAAACTGGTTAAAGTAGCTTGCAGAAAAAGTGAGCATGTAAAACGGGGAAGTAGTGTCAGCATTGCTTTTGTCTGCTGGAGTGTGAAATACTGAATTAAATGCTTTTTCTTTCATGATGAGTTTTATGGTTATCGTGGTTTCTGTCACTCCAGGTTAACCAACTGAAAAAGGAGATCAGTAAATTTGCTAGGCAGTCAAAGGTGCCAAATACCAATATCCTGCCAGACAGTGGAAAGGAAATGCAAATAGTACAAATAAAGGGGAGGTGGGTTTGTTATTACTTATTTGAGCTGCAGGAGGAAAGCCTGGAAGGCAGAATCCCTGTGATCCCTGTTCAGCCAAGGACAGCCTGACTGAGAAATTTGCTGAATTGTCAGTTCACTGTGTGGGTGGTACAACACTGGTAGCCCAATGGATCTTAGGCACGTCCCACTAGACAAACAGGACCTTGGCAAAGGACCATGGTCTGGTCTGTCTTCAAACCAGCAGGGCTGTGCCTGTCTTCCTAGATTAGGGCTGCACAGGATGGCACAGTCAATACAGAGCTGCAAATGGCACACCAAGCAGACAAGTGATTCATCCCAGACCAGCTGGGGTGCCAGCTCCCTGCATTTGTCAAATATACTGGGCACTTGGAAGTGTGCCAGCTGTGCAGCTCTTCCAGGGGACTCCTTCCTGCTCTCTAAAGGGCTGGCTACCTGTGGGACTGACGAAGCTGAAAATCCTCTGGGCTAAGCACTACTGGTAAGAGCACTGCTGCCTTTTGCTGAGTGCTCATTCCTTATGCAAGTTAACGACAGGAACACTCCTCTTTGCCAGGAGGGTCTCTAGGCAGAAGGCAGGTGGAACACCTGCCCAGTATAGGGTCATCTATGGGTTAGATGCATAGAAAAGTGAATGGAACAGGTCTCCTGCAGCTTGTCTGATTGTGAGAAATTGACCATACAAATCCCTAGTCATGGGACACACTGGAAGGTCCAGAAAGCATGAGGTCGCACAGAGCACCTGTGGTGTAATTTCTGGGTAAAAGGCATTTCTACCTGATAACATTGGCTGTGCTGCAGAAAAATGCAGGTATTAGTGCACTCTAGTTAATAGAAAGTGGTTTGCATTTGTGCACTGTGCTTTCATATCCTGATAAGGTGTTAGCATCACTGCTGGCAGACCTGCATCCCCAGAAACAAGCAGATTATTGTAGTTCTTAAATATGCCTCCCCTCAAGGACATTCAGTAAGTGTCTTTCCTGTTGGTTGAAGTTGCCAGTGGTTACTTTAAAGTCTTCACAGGTTGCACCTGTGTTCTCCAACATCATTAAGTGGTGAACTGTGGAAATCTCTCCTTGTATCACACTGTACTTTTCTCCTTTAAAAGGTAGCCTAGACACTACTAATCCTATACGTCATTTTGCACATTCTGTGGGGCACAGCTATTAGTCTTAGAAGAGGCCTAATTCAGCAGTAAATGTCAAAAAAGAAAAAGCCAATCTTCTTCCACAAAAATAATGAAAATGGTAAGACATGTCAGACTAAGCTGTATAGGTTTAACTTCTGCTGTTAAAATGTATTACAATCTCAAAAGTAAATGTGGACGTACTTGGCCTTTCATAGGCTGTGAGTTGACACAGGCAGGCAGCTGGAACAACCACAATCTTACAGCAAGAACATAAAGAGTAAATTTGAGCTAAAAATGTAAGATTTAAAATGGCACAGTGTCACACAAGTGTTTTGGCTGATTTTTCTGGTAGTTTTCTTGTCGACCTTGGTTATCTTGTTTGCATAATATTTAAACTTTCCCATGATGCTGAGTTGCCTTGCACACAATCTTCATATAAATCATTTCAGTGAACCTCAAAACAATGCTTAAAATATTCTTCCTGATTGCATTTCACCTAAATTATTTGCATTTCACCTACATCTAAAACTTGTAGAACTTGTCATTTTTGCTCAGTGGTTGATTCATCTATTATGATGATTATTTTAAAATACCTTTCAATAATTTTCAGCCATCATTGTAGAAAGATGGTTAAAAGTTTGATGTGAAAATGTTCCACTTCAATACTACCAAATTCTTGTAAGTTAATGAAATATGGTAAGTGACAGTAATATTCCTCTATTGCTCTCTTGTTTGGCTGCAATGATTTTGAGTGTCTATATGGATGACTGCTTTTTTTTTTTTTTTTTTGCCTTTTCTTTTTTATTTCGGGGACCTGCTTCTTAGTTCTTGGTTCTCTGTTACCCCTTGTTCTGTCACTACCAGCCTTGTACAATTCTCTCTCCATCTTTCTTACAAGACCCCCTTCATCTGTTAAAAGGCTTCAGTGAGTGACCCTGGAGATTTCTCCAGGCTGAGAAATTCCCACTCTCTCAGCCTTTCCTCAAAAGAGAGGTGTTTTTCTCCTGTCATCATTTCTGTTGCCCTCCTCTGGAGTTGCTGTGACAGGTCCCTGTCTTTCTTGTGCCCCAAGAAAGGAGCAGGATTCCAGAGCTGGACATAGTGTTTCAGGTGAAACCACCACAGCAAAGCAAGGAGATCCCTCTGGATAGCATCCTGTCCTTCTGGCATATCAAGCATATTTGGACACTCCATGCTGGGAGATTTGGGCAGCATTTGTGGTAATAAGTTAACCAGGGCCCAGGCAAAGGAATGTGGTAACTTATTGTCAGTAAACTGAGATGCTGGCTGGCACAATGCTGGCCTGTGCCAAGCAGAGCACTTCCAAGGACATCTGAACATTCCTCTGGAGCTGGCACATTCTTGGAAGCTGTTTGTGTGCAGCCAGCCTGCTTGGAGAATGAGAGAATTTATTAGCACAGGCACCTCCACATTGTTTGGCCTGGGTGCCTAGGAATATTCCAGACATGCCCAATTTACTGTTGTAGGTGTGGCAGTTCAGTGATGTGTAGGTTGGTGCCAAGAATAGCAGAGAACATGTTGGAAAGTATGTACTCACTGAGGTAAGTGGCCTAAATGCTGACTCTTACTATATTTTTTGTTCGAGTTCTACATTGTAAGAACCAATGGATAATGAGACTACTTCAGTTGTCTGTGAAGTTACATCCTAAATTTTGATGACCACCTATCCAATACAGCTCTGTAAATGTAGTTCATATCTAAACTGTAGTTTATATCTATTTTTTCTTTTCTTCAGATTAAATATATACCTATGGAACACTTTCATGGAGTTTATTGGTAAATGAACATGGAATAATCTTCAGAACTTTCAGCAAAGTCACATTCTAGTGTTTTCTGTGTGCAAACCCAGTTTTACCAGTGCCAACCTCCAGGGTGCCGATAGCTTTCATGTAACAGGATGGATATAACAGTGACTGCTAGACTACCTTACTTTTTC